CAGCCTAGTAAAGTAAAATACTAAGCTATAGATTATTAATTGTGAGATGATGTTTCGTTTCCCGTCAATCTTTCTTCTTGGAAGGAAGGGGCTAATTTTTGCGACAAGCTATCATCGTCACTCATGACCAAACATCCTCCAAATCTATAGACATTATCCACGCACTTGCAAGAGCGGCACTCCACCAGCTGATCAAATTTCGCTTGTTTAAGAATCAATTGATAATCTAAGAAATAGAAATTAGTAAATTACATTAAATAAGTTACATTTCAAAGTTTGTCAACTAAGTCTGCCTTTTTATCACCTTTTATATTTTGTTTACACACCCATGCTCCTCTCCGTTATGGTTGAGAGGCCCGAGTGGACGGCATTGATTACTTCTGTTCGGAAAGATGTACCACCCCTCCCCCTGCCTAAGTTAGCCTACAGGAGCGACTCCTTTTGTGTTTAGCTTGTGTGCAGCAATTCCCACTGACTGTTGGTCTTGTGTGTGTGTCTCTAAAACCTTGTTATCCTGTGGCTTCCTGAACTCTTCTGATCTAATGCGCTATGTGCCATTTCTGTGCCTTAAATGCAGTCTGTCCTAACTTTGTACTCCCTACGCTTCCTATGTGTGCAGTCACGAATCTCAGTTGGCGAAACCTGGAGCCTGACCGTAAGTTCACATCTACCTCGATGCCCTGCGTCCCAGCAGGAGCTCAGGGTAATACTAGGCTCTTGTGTCGGAGCCGGCCCCAAGGCCGCTTCCATGGATCTGTCAGTGAGTGTCCATACTGGTTTTGGTATAACTCCTATGTAGCCCAGCTGTCCTGAGCCCAGTCTGTCCTCGGAGAGTTTGTCTAAGATCTCTTGTTTCTTTGTTGGGTCGTCCTTGATAGTCTTCAGTATGCGTTTTTTTGTCGGACTGATACTCGATCCGTAGGTTTTCCGTGACCGTCACCCATGCTTCTGCCTGTGATACAGATTGCTCTTCGATTGTTTCCTTACAACCCCGCTTCCAGATTGCCCAGAGTGTCAACGGGCGCAGTCTGTGGAAGAGAGTCATTTGCCACTTGTCGGGGAACCTCCGCTCTGCCAATCCTGTGAGGCGGGTAGTTGGATTATCTGGCAGCGGCACCGAGTTCACAGTCGTCCACAGGGCGTCTTCCCTGGCCCATAGCTGTCGTGTTTTCGGGCAATTCATGAGACAATTTGACAAGTCCTGTACACCGTTGTCACAGATTGCACAGAGGTCATCAAACTCCCTCCTGGCTGCTGCCGTGCAGCGTCTGTTGAGCCATATGTTGACTGGGAGGGCGTGGTAGTAGATGAGCCATTGCATACTTCGAATGCGCGTGTTTCTCATAGCGAGAGGAATATGCCACGGGAGCGACCTGTGACTTTGTAGGGTCCCAGGGAGGGATTTCTCCCATCTCCGGGTCAGAACACCGTTAGTGTTGACCTCTCTCCTCCTGAGTCTGTAGCCCAGGCGTGTGGTGTAATCTAGGATGCTAGTTCTCTGCTCGTGTGTGACATTGTGCCTGCCGTCTTCCAGGCCCATTCTTGCAGGTCAAATTCCAAGTCCTGCAGCTGAGCCGTTGGACTATAGATTCTGTAGGAGTCGTCCTCCACTACTAAACTTTCCAGAGAAGGGCTGGTTTAGCTCTGACTTGTGCGCACACCGTCTTGTCAACTTCGCTGATGATCCTGCCCGGTTGGCTGATGTCATCATGGTCCCAAATGGCCAGTCTCCTGCCGGGCCTACGGTTTTGACGTAGGCCAGTGCGACTGTGGGAGTTGCCTCCTCAGCCCATGTGCAGCAGGGTCAGTCACTCGAGTGGGATGTGCGCAGCAGGGCTTCCAAGTTGACTTGCAGGTTGGGACATCCCTTAAGCAGTTCTCTCAGCTCTGTGCACGTTTTCCAGCGGTTATGTTGCTGGTCCCAGAGGTGGCGGATTCGCCACCCCCCCGTTTCCGGCCATGATATCCACCTGCCATCCTGAGAGGTTAGCGTCCATGGTCTGTCCAACGGGCTCACGGGGAAATTGGAGATGACCGGACTTGAACCGACAACTTCATACTTGCAAAACATGCATTCTGCCACTTCGGGTCTTTCAGCCATTGATTGCAGAAAAGGGGCTGACGTAACGCCTCTTCTCTGTTTGTCAGCTTCCTGACTTTAGCCGGATAGATGTCTCTCCAAATCTTGACGAGATACTGCCGGTAGTCCGAGCGTGTTCCTGGTTATTGGTGTTGCTGTTGTCCTTGCAGCTGCCTGTTACTGCCAAACGACCATGATTTGGCCATCCCCCAGAACACGCCTTGCATGTTGGCCGCTGTGGAGGCTTTGGGTAGTTGCCGTATTCGGTGCAGGCCCAGTGAAGTCCACGGTAATCCCTGGTGCGTTAGGAGTTTGACCACCCACTTGGTCTGGAGGGCTTTGGTCTGGCAGGTGGGGTCGAGGATCCCCAGTCCCCCTTTGCCTGTAGACTGTACGACGTTATTCCACTCCACCTTAGGGATGAAGTTATTGTCTTGTTGGGTTCCCAGTCCAGAGGTAGGCCGAAGCCCGCTGCCCAAGAATGACGGTCATATTTTGTTCCGGTGTCCAGATCGTGGCCGCATACCAGAGCATGGAGAAGATGGATGCATTGGGCACCAACGCCCTGCTGAAAACTGAGGTGTAAATGGTGGACCATTCATCCATCTTGCCGAGCATCTTAGTAAGGATCTCTGGCGTCATCACGTGGTCCACCCCCTCCTCTGTTAATTTTATACCCAGAAATCGCAGCGGTATCTTGGCATCTTGCTTCTTACTTCATTAAAGTTCATTTGTTATTTTCATTGGTTAATCTTCAGTTTGTTCAATACTTTTTATTGGGATGTTACTGAGACAGATTCTTCAGATCATGCACAAAGAGATCTTTCTTTATTTACCTTGATGGTAGAGCTTAAACTATGTCCGGCTAAAGTTGAGCATTCAAAACCATGTGGCAACATTCTCTCAGCATATCTTGTCCATCAGTAGCTATCCAATGCAAATTTGTAGAACAAGGGTCATGTGCAAGGAACCAGCATGTGATGATAACATAAAAAAAAAAAAAAACAGTTCACATTGAGCTGTGAGCGCCACAATCTCATTGAAGACCATGCATGGGTAGACCAAACTGAAAGCAGATGGACTACCGTCTTCACCCGAATAGAATGCCCGGTCGTTATAGCTGTATTTGGCTCAACATTCAGCCCAGATACGGCGATAATGACCGGGTGTTCTCTTCGGGTGAAGACCGTAGCGAGAATTTGTTGCAGAGATTCAGACGAATATTGTCTTCGCCAAGCATAAACTAAACCAACCATTCATATCAGTATAAAGAGTAAAGCCTCTATAAAAGCCGAGGAGCATACCAATCCGAGGACACGCTGAACGCTGAAGTAACTTGTGTGATAATGAAAGCCCTGTGTGTGTCTTTCGATTGGTATGCTCCTCAGGGTGCTCTATCTGGTTTCAGTTTGGTCTACTCAGGCATGGTCTTCAACGAGTTTTTGGTGCTCCTTTTTTTTGTAATGTTATTGCATGCCGGTTCCTTGCACACAACCCCCGTTCTACGAATTTGCATTGAATAGCTACTCATGAGGACAAGATATGTTTAGAGCCTTAGACCTTGTTTCCACAGAGTGGTGGCCTGTCAAGGATTTGAACCCTCAATGGTAGCCTGACATAGTCTAAGCCCTAGCATCAACGTATTTCCGGGATCTCGGGGAGAGGCAGCAAAGGAACACACTGTGAATTAAAAAAAAAAAGGAAAGAGAGAGAGACTTGGTATCAATTTGCTTGTCCCGCCTTCAGACCCTCATGCCGGAAAGGACCCACGATGACAAAAAGAGTAACTGAACTTCTATTCGAGTGTCATCGCGGTCACATTGTCTGGGTCCCGGGCGGAACCAAAAAGGGGGGCACAGAGTTGAGGTTGTTTGTTTGTTGTGGGCAGACTCTACCACCTTGTCCCATCTTCGAATCTTTTGTCTTCCTGAGGGAAATGTTGTAGACAGCTGTGAGAGGACTGCTTTTTTTTTTTTTTTTTCCTTTTTTAAGCCTCGGTCTACTCGAGAGGTAAGAATGTCCCCCTCTAGTGGGACCTTCGCAGCTGTGGGAGGACTGTTTTTAGGAGTGGATTTTCTTTTTTCTTTTTTCTTTTCCCTTTAGTTTTCCTGTGTTTTCCTCTTTCTTTTACTTTTTTCTTCCTAGATTTAATCTTTTTGTTTGTTGCAAAACCCATGGGGTGACGAGTCCCATGTCGCTGGAGCGATGACGGCGGCGACGAGTAACCAGCCAATCTTCGGCGACAACTAGCAATCTATGTTGTGGTGCCTTTTCAGAGTCACCCATTGTCCTTTCGACCAATCTTTACAACATTTTTTCCAATGGCGGGGGATGACACCAACGAATAACCAGCCAATCTTCGGCCACAACTGGCAATCTATGTTGTGGTGCCTTTTCAGAGTCACAATGTTGTCCTTTCAAGAGAGATGGTTAACCAACCCCCCATTTTTCACCTCAATTTATAAGAAAACCATAATGCCATTTCAAGCAAACTTCATACCAATGTATAGAGTGCACTTCTTACTAACATATTATTAAAAAAAAAAACTAAAAAACAATCATGAAAAACATATAAAACAGCAAGCCAAAAGTGCATTTTCAGGCAATTTTGCCAAAAAAAAATTCATCAGATTTTCAGGATTTTCACCACTGTTAACAGCACAAATTCTAATACTCCAAATGACACCAAATTTGACACACAACAGGCTTGTCCAAAAACAAAAACAGGCAAAAAACAAAAATCCAAAAAAACACAAAATTTGACCCCGAAACCCTAATTTCAGGATCATTCATGGTTACCCAGGGCCGAAAAGTGGGGGTCCCCGTTAATAGTGCCTTTCGACCAATCTTTACATCTTTTCCGTTTTCTCGTTCCTTTTTTCGTTTCTGCCTCGGGATCTGTCCTTCTGTACCTTTTCAGGGATCACAGGAGAACCACTACAGGCATACATCTTCATGGGCCCGGTATACTACCAAAAACTGAAGCATATGGTGAGTAGAACTCCTTGTGCTGCTGACCAGATCTCGACATATTCGCATCCCATTCATCATCCTTCTTCAGGTCCCAGTGCATCTAAAGCTCTTCCTTTCAGCCCCTAACAGGCTAACATTGTTGCATCCATCTCATCACATCAGGACTGGACTTTAACTCATGATCTGTCCATTGACAGTTACACGCGTGCAGCATTCAGTCGCATGCTCTAAAGTAAACTGATGGGCTCCAAGATGATACTCTGACCTGTTTCGTTTCTGATTGGAAACAGTTTGGGCTGAAGTAGGGAGAGTAGGAAAGAGGAGCGAAAGTAGGAAAGGTAACTAAGGTAATGAAGGTTGGTAGTAACAGATACACACTCACCTACCAGTAGGAAGATCCCTACAGTGGTTTGTGCGGGTTATCTTCCGTATCTGCAACACGAGCCAAGGGATGGCCTGCCACAACCATCGGAATCTCACTCATTCTTGTTCTTTCCTACGTCCTCATCTGTTTTCGTTTCTTGCAGGTTTGCACCAAGTGTGGTCTCTCTCTCTCTCTCTCTCTCTCTCTCTCTCTCTCTCTCTCTCTCTCTCTCTCT